AAACAACACACAATTAGTCCCTTCTCCTGTATGTGAACCGTAAAGGAGGTTTATCAATACTCCCCCCCAAAAATTTCACCTTAGGAACTGATGTAGTAACAGCTCCAAAATTTCCTAAGACGCTTCAAACTCCGACATTCCTTCCCATTTCACCAATACTTCAAGCTTCCCCACATCACCATTCGTCAATGGTCTCAAACTACCCCTCTTCCTATATTTATTATAACGAGACTAAACAACACACAGTTAGTCCCTTCTCCTGTATGTGAACCGTAAAGGAGGTTTATCAATACTCCCCCCCAAAAATTTCACCTTAGGGAACTGATGTAGTAACGGCTCCAAAATTTCCCAAGACGCTTCAAACTCCGACATTCCTTCCTATTTCACCAATACTTCAAACTGCCCCACATCACCATTCGTCAATGGTCTCATATCCAAGATATCCTCAGGCACAGCTTGCAACACCAAATCTTCCGAAATCTGAGTAGGAAAATCTTGAGACGAATTGCAATTTCCCACAGCTTTCAGTAAAAGAGAAACATGGAAAACCGGATGGATTTTTGCTTTACTCGGTAAATCCAATCGGTATGCCACCTTCCCAATCTGTTCCAGCACTCTATAGGGGCCATAAAATTGAGCTAACAGCTTAGGACTATTTCCCATAACCAGCGATTTCTGTCGATACGGTCTTAATTTCAAAAAGACCCAATCCCCTACCAAGAATATTACCTCCTTACGTTTCAAATCAGCCTGTTGTTTCATACGAAATTGCGCTTTAAGCAGATGCAATTTCACCTCATCCAGAATTTCATCTCTATCGATCAGCTCCTGATCCACCGACTGCAGCTTCGATGAAGCCGTTTTATAACGGAGCAAAGGGGGAGGATCTCTTCCGTACAGCACCTTAAACGGAGACTCCTTAAGAGTTGTATTGTAGGCTGTGTTATACGATAGTTCAGCCCATGAAAGCCATTTGCACCATTGTTTAGGCGTAGTCGACACCCAACCCCTCAAATATTGCTCCAAACAGCGATTTACTACCTCCGTTTGTCCATCTGACTGCGGATGATACGTTGAACTGTACTTCAACTTTGTTCCTTGTAATTGGAACAGCTCTCTCCAGAAATTGCTAAGAAACACCTTATTCCGATCGGAAACCACCGATTGAGGAATGCCATGCAACTTTATGATCTCTTTAGCGAATGCTTCAGCCACCAATTGTGCATTGAGAGGGTGTTTCAAACCAACAAAATGGGCATACTTACCAAGTCTGTCCACAACTACCATAATCACGCTCATTCCGTTCGACCGAGGCAGACCTTCGATGAAGTCCATTGAAATCTTGTCCCATACCTTTTCAGGCAGTGATAAAGGTTGCAACAAACCAGCTGGGCTGCCACTAAGACTTTTATTCCTTTGACAAACATCACATTTTTTAACCATATCAATTATATCATTTTTCATCCCAATCCAAAAAATTTCGGATGAAATACATTGATATGTTCGATCCTCTCTCGTATGTCCACGAGAACCGTGAAATTCGTCAAATATCAACGGGATAATTTTAGAAAAACGAGGAATAACCAAACGTCCTTTATACAATAACAGCTCCTGCTGAATCTCAAACCCCATATGCTCAGTTTTCCTGATACTAGTTCCTCCTTTATGTGGTTCAAGAAACTATCATCAGCAATCTCCTTTTTAAGATCGTCCCAATTTCTCCATTGAGGACTCCCCATATTCGCCAATTCCACTTATTCAATCTTGCGAGACAGCGCGTCTGCAGCTTGATTGGAACTACCCGGTTTATAGACGATGGAGAAATCATAGCCCAGTAGCTTGCTGACCCATTTCTGGTATTATGGTTCCACAACTCGTTGCTCCAGCAGAAAACGAAGGTTCTGCTGATCCGTACGCACTACAATTTTTTTTCCCAACAAATACGGTCTCCATTTCTTTATTGCCAACACAATGGCCATAAATTCTTTTTCATAAACGGATTTCTGCTTCGCTCTCAGCCCCAAAGCTTGGCTAAAATATGCAATCGGCTGCTCATCTTGCATAAGAACTGCTCCCACACCGTAACCCGAAGCATCCGTCTCGACCACGAAATCCTTAGAAAAATCAGAAAGTCTTAACACCGGGGTTGACGATAGCATTTTCTTCAATTCAACGAATGCTAACTGAGCTTCCTTCGTCCACTGAAATTGGTTCTTTTAAAGGTCGGTGAGTGGTTTGGCTAACATACCATAGCCCTTTATAAACTTTTTGTAGTAACCGACAGCCTTAAGAATCCTCTCAATTCTGTTATCGTCTTAGGCTCTTCCCACTCTAACACTGCTGTGATTTTAGACGGATCAACTTCTACGCCTTTTTCTGAAATTACATGACCCAAATATCCCAGCCGATCATGACCAAACTTGCATTTCTTCTTATTTGCGAACAGTTGATGTTGTAAAAGAACCTCCAGCACCTTCCTTAAGTGTACTTGATGTTCTTCAAGAGTTTTTCTATAGACTAAAATATCATCAAAGAAAACCAAAACGAACTTCCGCAAATATTTCTTAAAAATCTCATTCATCAACCCTTGAAATGTCGCTGGAGCATTAACCAATCCAAAGGGCATTACCAAGAATTTGTAATGCCCTTGATGAGTTCGGAAAGCCGTTTTGTAAATGTCTCCTTCCTTCATTCGAATCTGATGGTAACCCGATCTTAAATCAAGTTTGGAAAACACCGCTGCTCCGTACAACTCATCTAACAACTCTTCAATCACCGGAATCGGGAACTTGTCAACAATTGTCACCTTATTTAATGCTCGATAATCAATACAAAATCGCCAACTTCCGTCTTTTTTTGTAACCAATAACACCGGACTGGAAAATGGACTCATACTCAGCTGAATTACTCCTGCCTCGAGCATCTCCTTTACCAATTTTTCAATCTCATCTTTTTTGTAGTGTGGATAACAGTATGGTCGAACATTGATTGTTCTTGTCCCTTCTTTTAAAACAATATTGTGCTCTCTTCCCCTTTCCGGTGGCAGGCCTTGTGGCATATTGAAAACTGAGTCAAATACCCTTATCAATGGATCCAAAATAACATTGGATTCTGCTATCTCTCCCGATAACGCTGAACAACTGCCCAATTCAACCAGCGCACCCTGTCCTTCGTGGTTGATTACTTTTCCAATAGCTTTCAACGATATCATCGATCGCCCCAATGACGGATCTCCCCTTAATGTGACAGATTTGCCTCCGCAAGTGAACTTCATTACTTGCAATTTCCAGTTAATATAGGTTGCTCCTAACGTTTCCAACCATTGCATCCCCAAAATCACGTCACTATTACCCAATCCCAACGGAAGAAAATCTTCCCCGATTTCAATTTCTGGTAAAAACAGAGTTATACCTCTGCAAATCCCATCTCCTTTCTCTATATTTTCAGATTCTAGAGTAATAGTGTATTCACCAGTGATTTCCACTTTTAAATTCTGTCGTTTAACTAAATCATTCGATATAAAATTGTGTGTTGCACCGCTGTCAACTAACGCTACTACTTTCTGCTCACCAATCCTTCCCTCCATCTTCATGGTTTTAGGATTAGTTAAACCAACGACAGAATTAAAATGTACCTCCACCTTGTTGCTCACTTCAGTTGCATTCAAAACTTTTCCTCTATCTCTGGTTCTGTATCAGCTCGCAAATCCTCCTGAACTAACAAAACATTCATCTCCTTTTTACACTTGTGGCCGGGAGCGTACTTTTCATCACAGCGGTAACACAAACCCAATGCTTTCCGCTGCTGCACTTCCTGATCGGATAGACGGCGGAATTCAGATCCCGATTTAATCGTTGAAATCGGTGAATTAACGGAGCTCACTGTGCTATTTGAAGAAATATACGAAAAATTACCATTTGAATCAGAGCCAGGATGAACTAACGAACTTGCTCTCTTGCTAGTAACAGTGGTTTTATCTCTCGCTAACACCTTATTTTTTCAAATCAATTTTCATGGCCACCTCCATTGCTTCGCTCAATGTCAATGGATTCATCAACCTCAATTCTGCTTTAATAGACTCCTACAATCCATTAATGAACTGGCTTAAGAAAATCTGCTCTAGAATTCCATCTAGCGGTGCCGCAAACTCCACAAAACGCCTTCTACATTCATCAATCGATCCATCTTGCCTTACCGCTAGGAATTGCTCACATAACGATCCTGCTGCCAGAGATCTGAACTGCCTCAACAATAATTGCTTCAAATCCTCCCATCCGGTAATTGGATGACGCTTATGCTCCCATTGAAACCACTTCAGTGCATCGCCTTCAAATGAAATGAACGACACATCGATCTTTTCCTCCTAACTCAATTGATTCAACGTGAAATATCGTTCCGCTCTTAAAATCCATCCGTATGGATCCTTGCCATCGAAGATCGGAATCTCCAATTTACGCCCCTTAACTGCTAAAAATCGATTCTGATTGTTACGATTTTTGTCTCGTCGACCACATCCCGCTGCGTCTTCCTCATCAGACGAATTCGTAGCGTTCGATTTATTGACAAAATCGTTCCTCAATTCTTCAATTTGTTGCACAATATGCTCCAAGTTCCTTCCAATTGAACCAACGCTACTCTCTAGATCTTCAATTCGATTGTTTGCGTTTCGCGTAGTAACATTCGTCATGCTAGACCGAAACGAGCTCTGATACCAATTTGATATACACTGGAACAAACTGGTCGGCTGATTGTATTGCAACGAACTAATCAAAGGATTTCCAGACTTTCGAGAGGTCTGGAGTCTCTCCCACAGAGCTTACGCT